TGTCTTACCGGGGGCAAAGTTCTGAGCCCCGGTCTGCTGTTGAACAGGGTTACTGCATTCCTGCCGACCCAAATTTCGAGTTCCATCGCAGAAATATTTAAGACTTCAACCCATGTTCATAAGCAGAGACGATATCAGGAGCAGATTCAAGGAGTTCTCTTTTACTAAACCATCTGTCCTCAGATGGGCTCTGACTTTTAAAATGAACCTTGAATTGCTTCTGGGGTCGTCCTCGTGCACCTGTAGAGAAGAATCCTTGTTCTATAATTCGGTCCACTTCATATCCACCATCCATATCTGGCGGTATCATAGATGGTCTATGGGGGAATTCATCTCCTTCTACATAAGGTAACAACTTAGACGCATGAAAAACAGAATAGGTCCTGAGATGAGGGGGTATATCAATTCTATAAGACGGTCCCTCGGCATCTCCAATCACTTTAAGAACTTCCCAGGGTCCAAAATAGACAGGTAGACAGGTAGGAGTTTCTGAGAGACATTTTCTTCTAGTGAAAATTCTTTAGACTTGACCCAGACCAAATCACCTTCTTTGAACGTTGATGGTCGTCGATGCTTATTAGCTTGTTCGATCATCCGGTCCTGAGCTTTCTTTAAGTTCTCCTTTACCTTTTTAATGTCTTCTTGAAACAATACTGCGTATTCGCGGGTCCCTGGAGGTAACCTAAGGAACTGGTCCCTCGTCAATACATCAATGGGACGCTTAGGTTTCCACCCTTTATGCAGTGCGTTAGGTGTTCATCCTAGAGGTATGAACACTACTATTATATGCACTTGCTATCTTAGGTAAGTTCTCATCCCAATCTATTTGATCGGGTCTTACATACATGCGCAGAAGCTGTTGGCACAAACGGTTCATTTGTTCACTCTGCCCATTCGTTTCAGGGTGTCTACTTGACGACATAGTCAGACGTGTACCGTATACCTCCATCAGCTTTTGCCATGGCATACTTGTGAACCTGGTATCTCTATCAGATACAATGGATAAAGGGAAACCATATTCAGTCATCCATCGCATCTGAAACTTTTGGATCACAAGTTCCGTTCGGGCTTTTTCAGGTAAGGGAATGAACATAGCATATTTAGAGAAACGATCTACGATCACCATTACTTGGCTATTGCCATTCCGACTTTTGGTGAGACTCATGAAATCCATGGAAATAGACTCACCTGGTTCGCTTGGAATTGGTAACGGTTTGAGAAGTCCAAGTGGATTCTCATGTGAGGGTTTGTTTCTCTGACACACAAGACAAGTACGAACATAAGTTAGTACATCCTCTTTCAATCCCTTCCATTCAAAGCGTTCTCTAACTTCACCGTAGGTTTTCTTGAAACCAAAATGACCTTCGGCGTCGTGACATTCCCCAATAATCAGACTTTTGATTTCTTCCTGATGAGGAATACACAATCGTTGTTCAGTTTGGTCTAACAAGAAAAACAAACCATCAGTTATCTTATAGTTAGGAAGTAGACTCGGGTCTTTTGCAAGGACATCCATGATAGGTTTCCATATAGGATCATTAACATAGCCTTGGCGAATTCTATCTTTTAGATCATTCCCAACGTCTAGGTAAGAGACAATGGCACCAAAGAAATCACATCTTCTAGACAATGCATCTGCAACAACGTTAGACTTACCTTTGATAGTGTTCAACTCAAAATCAAAAGTATCAATGAATGCAGACCATCRTACTAGTTTATTTGAGAGTCTAGGCTGTGTCTTTATCCACTTTAGGGTAGAGTRGTCTGAGTACACAGTGAAGTGTCTCCCTAATAGATAGTGTTTCCAGGTGTCTAAGGCACAGACTAACGCATACAATTCTCTTTCATAAGTAGAATTGGCAACCTTTTCAGATGGCAATCGTGCAGACATATACTCAATTGGTCTGAAACCATTGTCATCGTTTTGTTGAAGAACTGCGCCAATCCCATACTGACTTGCATCAGTGGTGACAATAAAGGGAAGAGATGGATCAGCAATTTTCAGAACAGGGTAGTGAGTCAGAGCGTACTTTACCTTTTTGAACGAGGACTCACAATCCTTGTCCCACAACCAGATCGTTCCTTTCTTTAACAATCTTCTCATTGGTGCAGCGATCAATGAGAAGTTCCTGACAAATTTTCTATGGTAGCTTGCCAAGCCAAGAAAAGATCGTAGCTCAGTTACAGACTTAGGTTGTGGCCAGTCTCTAATTGCTCATATTTTCTTTTCTTCAGGCCTGAGGCCATCTTGGTTCACTATATGTCCTAAGTATAAAACTTCAAACTTAGCGAGCTCAGACTTCTTCGGGTTGATTTTGAAGTTGCCTTCTCGCAACTTACTCAAAACTAGACGAAGATGCTTCTCGTGTTCTTCCAATGTTTTACTATATACAAGAATGTCATCCAGATAGACGATGACGAACTGATCCGACCATTGACGAAATAACTCGTTCATTGACCGTTGGAATGTAGCAGGAGCATTAGTCAATCCGAAGGGCATTACCATAAACTCATAATGGCCATACCTGGTCCGGAAGGCAGTCTTGTGTTGATCTGCGGGTTCCACCTCAATCTGATGGTACCCAGACTTCAGATCAATTTTACTGAAGTGCTTGCATCCTTGTAGTTGGTCAAGTAAATCGTCGATGCGAGGGAGTGGTTCGACATTCTTGACAGTGACGGCATTTAACCCTCGATAGTCAATACATAGACGCAATTCACCTTCCTTTTTGGGCACAAACAAGACAGGTGCTCCATAAGGAGATGAACTAGGGCGAATCCATCCCTTGTCAGTAAGGTCCTGCAGTTGCTTCTTTAATTCCTCAAGTTCCCTGGAAGACATTCGATAGATAGGGCCCTTGGGAATTTTAGTACCCGGAATAATCTCAATAATATGCTTTATAGTGCGTTCAGTAATTCCAGTGGGTTCTTTCTGCAGGTCCTTATATTCAGAGAGAAGACTTTCAATCGTCGGAGGACAGGAAGAAGAAGACTCACCGGCTTTCTTTACCAGTACCAACATGACTTCCTGTTCCATCTTTTTCTTAGAAACCATCGAACAGAAAGCTGGATAACTCATACAGCAAAAGGATAGACTTGAGTCAGAGCCAGACTTGTGATATAATTTAATTGGTTTCATTTCTGATTGCGCATCTTTGAGTTGCACAATCTTGTTTTTGAAATCAATGTCCGGGTTGGCTTCTTCGTGCCAATCCATACCCAGAATGATATCAAAAGAGAGGAAGGTTAGTTCATGCACAATCTTATTTCCTTCCTTCGTTCGGAACTGACACTTAATACGATCAACAAACTGAGAAACAGTGATCGTACTCTTGTCTGCTAACATAGACGTTATAGGTTGAGACAACTCTTTTACCTTCATGCCGAGATGCAACCTACGGATTGCCTTCTCGGAGATGTAGGATCTCGTTGATCCTGGGTCTAACATCGCACCAACTCGTGTTCGTGCGATCTCAACATCTGCAAACAACAACTCGCCCTTAGTCTTCGCCTTTCGAGCCCATGAGCTACGTAATGCTAGCAATTCGTTACCTAACTCATCAAGGGAGTCATCCAGGGAGACAAAACATAAGACAATATCAGGGCGATCTGGATGATGGGCTAAGGAAGAATCATCCTCTGCCAATTGAGAAGAAGGGTAGGAAGGGGTCGTAGGCGCCTTACCTGTCTGTTCGTTCTTACCCTTAATCTCAGTAGGAGCAGATGCTACTCCTACTGGCTGTTCGCTTTTGGGTTCCGGATCTGAGGGCAGTAGGCGATCACATGTCCTGTTGTGCCGCACTTGAGACATTGCGCACTGTCCATGCGCTCTTGCCAAGTCTTTCTAGTCATACCCATTTCGACCCATGGCTTCCCATCAGCAATGCCAGGGTGTCATGGAAACGCTCTTTGTTTCTTCCCTCCTGTCCTGGGTGGTCCTCCCTTATTGG